GATGTAACTTAGATAAAAACATGTATTAAAATAAAATATCATTCCCTCACTATTAGTGTCATTCCCTCACTTTTTAAATAGTGAAAATAATTAATTTACTTATTAATTAATTTGAAAAATAAATTAAAAAATTAATAAATTAATTTATTAAATTAATTAATTAATTATTAATTATTATAAATTAATTAATTATAAATTAATTATTTAAAAAATTAATTAATTTAAATATTAAGTATAATTTATAGGATATATACTTTCTTTATAATGCCATTACATATTTCTATTAATATAAAATGTTTCAGAGATTTTTAGTCACTTTACTTTTTCGGGATTTTATGAACTGAAAAATGACAGTTTTCGTGAGAATGACCCATATCTTTTTTTTCCGGTTTTTTAAATAAAATTTCTTTTTTTCTTTTTTTTTTATATATAAACTGCTGTTTGTTATTTTTTTACTTATTATTCTCCCCCCCCCTTTTTTCCATATATCTATAATTTTTCTTTGTTTTATTCTTCATTTTGAACTTATCTAATGAGTTCTGTTTACTTGCAGCTTAAGCGCAATAAATGATACTTATTGTTTTTCTTAACTTTCTTCGTGTTTTCTTGTATTTATTTATGTATTATATATATATACTGGAAATTCTGGCTTTCAAACTTATATAGTTCTCATTAGTACTCAATTAGTCAAAATACAAAACTTAACTATGAATTCAATCGAATATATCGTTTTTATATAGTAAAAATACAAATCTTAAATATAAATTTTACCAAATACATCTTTTTTATGCTATGTTCTAAGGAATTATTATAAAATTACCATATCATACACATTAACTAGCAAGCAGCATCATGATAAAACCAGATTTTACTGTTAACTTTACTAAAAATCCTTACCAAAGCGCTTCGGTTTTTGGTGTTCCCATTGATCGGTAAATTTTATCATACTCTGGTTGTTGTGACCATACAGTCTACTAAAATGTTTATTTTTCGTATAGGAATGTCAGTTCTAAAGTGATGTATTAAATTAACTTACATGGGCGCTCGCAATTAAAACCACCAACATTAATCCATGATTGTCAGCGCCGTAGAAGGGATTAGCAAACAGGTTGGAAAATGTCAGTCATTTCGTGCTCGCTAGCAGCCGCAATGGATAGTCGTGCAACGAGGTCCTCCAGTGCGTCAATGGGTGTTCAGATACTACCATAAAAATGAATCCAAACTGAATAAGTCTGGCGAATGGGGTGGCCAACGGGATCGTTCACCACGCCCAATCCAACCCCCCGCGAAATTCGCATCCAAGAAATTTCGGACACCTATGTCGTAATATATTGGTCCACAATCATGCTGGAATTACAACTGAAGTTTGTATTGCTGTTAGTTGGAGCAATTTTGAACATTTAATGTTAATACTGTATTGCTGCAAATGAAAACTTTGCTTTGATTTGCGTTGATTATACGAAATGTACAGTCTGCAAAAAAAAAACGAATCACCCTGAATAACTTTCGTTCTAATGATCGGATTTTCAGGAACTAAGTGTCAATCTTAATGGTTCTTGGGGGTGACCTCAAATATGCTAATTAATTAGTGCTGACTACTAATTAAGTTACGAAATCAGACACAAAAACGTACTTTCTCTGAATAAACATATATTTTTTTTTACATATTTGGAATCTAGACACTTGAATTAAGGGGGGGGGGTAGACAATTCTATGCATACGTATGTATATTATTGAAATTGTATCAGTTATTGAAAAACAAAATCAAAAAATAAAAAATAATTACATTAAATGAGCACAATCTGGTGTATAATCATATTCTATCAGAAGATCATATCATATCTTATTTTATAAAACTAGATACATTCCTTGAATAAAGTGTTTTTTATTCAAAATGTTTTATTCAAATTTCTTTACTAAATTGCAAATAAATTATCAAGCGACTAAAAAGGAAATATTGTATTTTATAGTTAGAAATAAATAAATAAAAAAAGATTAGCAAACGATTATTAGCGAAAAAAATATGAATGAAATTTTACACTAAGCGCACGAAGTCAAGTTCTTCGCAAGTTTATCACATTTTAATATTAATCGCCCCATTTAATCATTTCCTTATTGTCGCCAAATTATGTTTTTTAAAATAATTAATTTTAATTTTTCTCAGCTTCTAATAAAGGAAAACAGTTGAAACTTTAGATTTTTCAATTGAAAAATATGTGGATTAATATGGTATAAAAAAATTCATACCTTATAATTCAAAATTTTTCCATCCTCAATTTAATTAAATAGTAAAAAATAATTAATAATTATTAAAAATTATTTTTTTCATGAAATTATCTTTGGGTAAATGAGTTTTATGACTGGGTGAAATTGTCTTTGAATTGCTTTATTAGTTTTAAAAATATGACTAAAAACGTAAAAAGTGAAATTAACATTAAGGGGTACGAACTTCGGATCGCTCTCCTGACCAAACTATGGGGACCATATTTCCCAGATTGCGGCCCAGATTGTATTTTGAAGGTTAAAAATCCAAATATGTGAAAAAAAATTTATGTTTATTCAGAGAAAGTACGTTTTTGGGTCTGATTTCGTAACTTAATTACTAGTTAGCACTAATTAAGTAGTATATTTGAGGTCACCCCCAGGAACCATTAAGATTGACACTTAGTTCGTGAAAATCGGATCATTAGAACGAAAGTTATTTAGGGTGATATCTTTTTTTTTTTTGCGGACTGTACACAGTTCTCCTCCTGTGTCAATTCTGCGTTCATGTCTTAATTCATCTATTCAGACCCTTCTCTCCTTTATTAAAAACATATGTTTCAATACGCTCAATCACTTTTCCTTGTTCGTCCTAGCATCGTAGAATCACCCTGTATTCAGATAAGCACATCGTCAAGTGAACAAACGAATATAAAGAAATCATCGTAAACCTATGTCAGTTTCTGAAATGAATGAAACTTACAAAAAGCATTTCTTTTCTCTTACTCATTCCCTAATGATCTAAGAAGCCATTATATAATGATTTTCTTCTTATGTTTGTGTACCATATAAAAATGTTAATTTAACAGTGTGTATACAAACCCCTACTACAAGAAACAACATTCAAACTATCTAAGTTGTACTGACGTTTTATGATTTTTTTTCGGTTCTGTATAGTTTAAAAAACAATTCATTGGGATTCGCTTTAAACCACGTACATAGAATTAAAATTCTGGAAGAAATTTAATTTTTCTAAGAAAAAATACTGATTAAATATTTTTAGTTACATACATTGAAAAAAAGAGTTTTAATTAATAGTCCCTTTGTTTTCCAATATTTTTTTCGAAGCATGGTACACAAGGTATCTTGCATGCGCATGAAGGGTGCCATATTAAAAATTGTACTTAATTATTTTAATAATTTTAAAAGTTTTCTTATTAATTTTAAAAGTTCTTCCGACTACTCAAATCAAATTCTCTTTAACAGCTCGAGCAACCATAGTAATCGCTGTTTCTTTTTACTTCAATGATTTAAATTTTAAACCAATGCTTTTTTTAAACAAAAAACTAATTGATTAAAATAGATATTTTAATTGTTGATATTCTAGAAGATTTTATTAATTTCGAAAGTCTCGTATTTACTTTTCAAAGTTAATAATTTTTAAGAATTCTATTCGAAATATCTTTAAAAACTCGGGCGACCATAACAATCGCGGTTTCTTTTTACTTTCATGATATAAATTTTGAATCAATGATCATTTTTTCAAAAAATCTAATTGATTAAAAATAGCTGTTTTTAATCATTTTTGAGCATTGATACTCTAGCTAATACTCTAAATCACTTTATAAATTTGAAATTATTTTATTAATTTATGACTATTATGTTATTTATAAATCATGTAAGCTTCCCTATTAATTTTTACCCTTTGACACAGATGGGACAGCGGTGTCCTTTTTATACATTTTTTTTCATGCGCTCAAATTACGAATATAAAAATATAGAGCAAAATTGCAAATATAAAGCCAAAATATATTTCGGTATTTTTTATTCAGATATAACAGTCTAATAATCAGTAAAAAAAATGTGTAAGATTGTATGGAATTATATTTGGACTAAAATATAAAATTCAAAATAAGTAGTTAAAATTTTTTTTTCATTCACATGCAAAAATTTATTAGTAATTTATTTTGTAAATTAAAGAAATTTCAATGATGAATAACTGTTTTTCTTCGATCTAAATAAGTGCAAGTTTGAAAAATTATTGTTTGGAAGTAAGCCGTGTTAGAAATATTTTACTTTTAGCGCAGAAAAAGAAACGAGTGTTTCATGCTGAATTTCATAACCATAAGTTATTAAAATGCTAAATATTACATTTTTCACTTATTTTGACCTAAATTAGTAGATCTAAGTTAGTTGATCTAAATTAGTTAATCTAAATTAATACAAAATGAAAAAAGTTCAAAAAATATGTTTAGTAAAAATTCTGCGTCAGAAGATTAAAAGTTCTTTTGATTATAAGTTCTACTCAAATTCTCTTTGAAAGAACGAGCAATCATATTAACCGCTGTTTATTTTTACGTTACTGATTTAAACTTTAAATTATCTTTTAAACTAATTGATTAAAATAGCTCTTTTTAATCGTTTTTGATGGCAGAGATCGTTCTGACTGTAGCAGATAGATACTTAAAAATTACTAAATGAATAAAAAATAATTTTAAATAAAAATAAGAATATTTTTGTAAAACTTACAGACGGCTTGTTTCATTTCTTGAATGTCATCTTCATCACCTGCAGATACAATTCCAGCAACAAAAATCAAGCAAAAAGCTGATAGGATGAGTTTATACATCTTAGAGGTAATGCTCAGTTGAAAATGCAAAATTTTCAAAATGCGGAATGATTTGAAAATTTAAAATCCCAATCTTTTATACAAGATGAAATAAGGAAAAAGATATTTTTAAAATGTATCTGTTTTTGTATGTTCACATTATGCTGTAATTGATAATGTTTGCTTAAAAATAACACTTATTGTAAGCAAGGGTTTTATAAGTTGAAGTGCATATTTTAACAATAAATTTCATCAAGGATGTTCCTATTAACGCAAATACCTAAATTACAATTTGTAAAGAATACTTTTCAAATAAAAATTTTTGACAATTGGAAGTTTTTCCTGACAACTGACAAGACATATTGTACTTTTTTTTTTAATTTCCCCTGAATTATATGGCTTCGAAGTAATTTTAACATTTGAAAAACATGTTATGCTTTGTTATTCGTCACATTTTGTAACTGTTTTTCCTTTTTCCTTATATTTTTTCAGAATCAGATTTCAAACAATTCAAAACATGAATTACTTTTCATTATTTTTCGAGATAATGCTTTTCTCATGAAAAAATCTAAATCACGAAAGGTTTAAATTTAAAAAGCACAGTTCGGCAAATAAAATAGTAACTTTTAATCTAATGTTTAGATTTTCAGTTAGTTTAGACACTATCTTATATTTTCGAAGATTACGCAAAGAAAAAGCATAATTTAATAGTGTTTTTATTTATTTATTTATTGTTACAACATAAATTTGTAGGCTTTTGTGCTAAATTACAGCTTATTAAATAGTGCAAACGATGTAAGAAATTACAAATACGACTTATTTAAATTTGATTTCTCAGGAACTATTCGACAGCTTTCGATCAGATTTTCAATTTCCTCATGTAAAATTACGTTGTTTAAAATGTTGCGAAAAATTGCGTACCTGCAATTCACAATTTTTCGACTATATTAAATAAAATAATAAACTTTTGCTAAAAGTTATTTTTTACATGGAATTATCTTTGGTTGTTGTTGTAGTAGTTTATTTACGTCGCACTAGAGTTGCACAATGGGCTGTTGGCAACGATTTGAGAAACATCCCTGAGGATGATCCGAAGACTTACCATCACAATTTTGATCCTCTGCAGAGGGGATGGTACTCAGACTTCGGTAGCCCGACGACCTGCAAGCGAAGTTGAGCACTTTACGGTTGAACAGTTTAGCGAGGACCAATATCACACACCCTCGGTCTCTACGCAGACTAATCCAAGTGGTCACCCACCCGTACACTGACCGCAGCCAGTGATGCTTGACTTCGGTAATCTGATGGGAACCGTGTCTTAACGAACACTGCGAGACAATTATCTTTTGATAAACGAATTTTATAATTGTTTTCAAAATTTTTCAGTTTTCTTAAAAAGTTTTCGGGTTATCGCAAAATACGCAGAAAGTAAAACTTACATTAAAAAAAAAATTAAAAAAAATTTTTTTCTTCTTCTTACGCATAGTAGACTTTTGAACTTAAATGTAGTAAATTTATCTTAATACTATGAAAATAGTTTATGATAAGAAGAGAGCTAATAAAATGTAAATTTTTTACTGAAAGCTAATATTTTAAAACTAAACCATGAAGTAAGAGTTAGAATTATAAATATTTTAAACATTGGTATTCATATTGATTCAGCAGTCATGATTTGTAAAAAGTTCAAAATCTGTAAGAGCCAGGCCCAGATAGCAAAATAAGGTTTATTTTCCCTCAGCAAAAAACCTTTTAATGTAAACCAAAAAAGGTTTTTTATGTGGCTTACGTGTAAGCCTTCTGATCTTAAAATGAGAACTGCTCTATTCTACGCACAATACCTTAATCCAAAACCTTGGGGGAAAAACCTTCCATATAAAAACCCTAAATCGAGGTTGTCTTAGCGTAAAAAAATCCTTGAATAAAGCTAGTCTCAAGGTGAAAGTAATCTTAAATCTAGGTAATCATAAGGTTTCTTTTCGCAAAGTCTTGTATGCTCAGCTAAAATCCACCTTGTCATGAAATTTTAATGGAAAAGGCAATTTGATCCTATCGCTAGTGTGTACCGCAGTGGACTGATCGTTAAGACACGGTTCCCAGCAGATCACCGAAGTCAAGCATCACTGGCTACGGTTAGTGTGCGGGTGGGTGACCACTTGGATCAGTCTGCGTAGGGACCGAGGGTGTGCGGTATTGGTCCTCGTTAAACTGTGCTACCGTAAAGTGCTCGACTTCGCGCGCAAGTCGTCGGGCTACCGAAGCGGGGGTGCCATCCCTTCCGCAGAGGATCAAAATTGTGATGGCATGTCTTCGGATCATCCTCCGGGATGTTTCCCAGACCGTCGCCAATAGCCCATTGTGCAGCTCTAGTGCGACGTAAATTAACAACAACAACTATCGCTAGTGTGACGCCAGCTAAAGCTTCATCATGGACCTAAGTGACCATTTTACCTCAGTGACAAGACATTTTAAAAATGCTTCAAAAATAATTTTTAATCCTTTTAAGATGAAACTGCAATATTTTTGCTTCATTGAAAAAAGTTTTTTAGTACAAACATTTTGGTGACAATAAGAAGAAAATTCCTTACTTAAGATTGCCGTAAGGTTACGTTCTTTCCGGTAGGGGGCTTAGAGTACAGGAATAGTATTGATGATAAATGTTTCCCATGTAAAATATAGGTATGTCTCATGTATGCATGTACATTTTACACTGGTGAAAACAATTGAAAGAACGAATGGGGTTTTTGCAATTAAAATTAACAAAGCAAATAAAACCCAAACCTGGCCAGTATATCATTCGATATAAGATTAATAAAAAGGAAAGCAAAAATGGGCACAATCTGCACCCAAAATAAGTAAACTGGTTGCTTTTCCAGCACAGCAGTAGAACAAGAACCTATCAGTCAGAGAAAAACATGTGTATTAGGGTGTATGATTGCCTCTAACAGCTACTCAAACCTCGCATTTGCGTTTCATACTGTTTACCAGGGTTTTTATCAATCCCTGGGGCAACGGCGCCCACTCTTGCACCAACCCTTACAAAAATTTAAGGTACATTTGAGGTTGTTTTGAGGTACTTTTGAGGTATCGAGGTTGTTTTGAGGTATGTATGAGGTATATTTGAGGTTGCTGAGAAAACAACCATAAAAATTATAACTCGTAAAGGTTGTAATTGAGGTGTACGGAGATTGTTTTGCATGCACTTCAGCTCATTTTGAAGTTGATTAAAATTCACCTCAAGTCAACTGGGCTGATGAGGTGATTTTTAAGGTATGCCAGGTTGTTTTTCTGACACTTGTAATAAAAGAGGTATTTATGAGGTATAAAAAATTTACCTTATTTCAACTATGGTATTTATGAGGTATAAAAAATTTACCTTATTTCAACTAAAGAGAGTGAGGTACTATGAGGTATAAAAAAATTTACCTTATTTCAACTAAAGATAGTGGGATATTTATAGAGGTGAAAGAAGTCATTTTATTTATACCTAGGCTCATTTTGAGGTTGTTTTAAATACACTTCATATCAACCAGACTGATAAAGTGATTTTTAAGGTATACTAGGTTATTTTTCTGACTCTTGTAACAAAAGAGGTATTTATGAGGCATAAAATTTTTTCTTTATTTCAACTAAAGAGAGTCAGGTATTTATTGAAGAGTATGAAGTCATTTTAGTTATACTTAAGCTTATTTTGAGGTTGCTTAAAGTACACTTCATATTAACTAGCTCACTTCCCAGAGTTTCGTACGAGCCGGCGAATGGCGTGTGTGTTGACAATCAAAAGTCTATGCGAAATTCAGTAAGTGTGTTAGAGATTATTAATTTAGTTTTATCACTTTTAATTAAATATGCTTCAATTTTCAAACTTAAATTTTATTATTTTTGTTTTAAAGACGAGTCCTAATCTTAAATAATTTAAGTCGGAGGATATTCTTGGAGGCTATTGTTATAGGCTTAGTAATAAGAGAGAATAATCGGAATATTTCTCGTCGCTGTTTAGTGTAATGTTACTGGTGAATCGTTACAGCAGGTTACGCCCAGTATATTTTATTGTTTGCCATTTATTCAAATATAACTTTTGTTTCATTTTTCTTAAATTAATTAATGTAATTGTTGATAACAATAGTTTGCCTGCTATTTAATAATTGAAAACTAGTAACTATGCTAACTCACTTTTTCATGTTTGAACACAAAAATGCTATTTTTCACTACATGTTATTTTTCGAAATTAACCCATGTTAATTATTTACTAATCAGATTGTTATTAATTATTAGAATATTAAGCAGAATTAAATAAAATTTGATTTCAAGTTTATATGACAATTTGTTTCAATGTTATGAGCATTTTTATGCAGCTGTTTATGTTTCACTACTTCAAAAATTAGCGAATTTCGAAAATCTTAAATTATTTAGAAATAAGTCAGTATTGTTTCTAATGCAATTGTATTGTTGAATTGAATAAAACTCAATTGCAAATAAAACAATTTATTGTTTGAAAGTTTCATGCATTTTTTTGAATTACATCCTATGGGATATGTTTTTATATTTAAACAAATGTTTGTAACAACTAACTATTAATTGTATTCTGCTCTGTATTATAAGTTATATAGGAGATATTTTACTCAACTTGTTTTAAAAGTATTATTTCATATCGTTCTCTCTTAGATATTTTCCTCATATAAAATTACGCCCAACTTTAAAAAAATTCTCCTTATCAGCTTGAAATTATTTTTATTCGATTGAATGTAAACAAATGCATAAAAATTGGTACGTAACTTTAAAATTTGTATTAATTAAATGATTGTTGATTCTTGATGACATTGATTAAAAAAATATTGAAATAACTATTTTTAAAGAAACTCTGATGTGATTAACAATAACGGAAGTTCCTTACGAAATCAACATCAAAAATTTATAAACAAAGCTATTAGTTTTATGAAATATGACAAAAAGTTTAAAAATATAGACTAGGTTTATTGAGTTTAAAGATTTGTTAGAAAAAAAAGAAAGAAATAGTAATTATTAAACTTACAAGTACAACTGATACCAGATGTATGGGAAAATAAAAAGTGTTAAAATTTTATAATAAGATTGGA